CGAACACTAAGAACCCGACCAATTTTTAAAAAACAACACATCTAAATCATGACAAATTTCTCTTAATTCAGTTTGATTTTTAGGGGATGCATTGTATAGAACATAAAGTGAGTCTATAAAACATTTGAAGTAATTTGTAGCACTTACATCTTTGAGTGAATCATTAACTGCTAATTCAAGATGATGATTCATACAATGCCAACTAAAAATTAGTGGGTACTTATCTTTGAGTTTTTTTAGCAACACCATTTTTTTTACCCAACAAAACGCTTGCTCCGTCACTTACAAAGGACACCAAATGCTGTTGTAAATAGTTTTCATCAAGCCCTGATGTATGTAAGCAGTTAATTAATTGACTTACAATATTTTCTGCACTTTGATTTTTTTAATTCAACCAAGTCTAAAAAAAATAAAGAGAGGTTCATTATTCGATATTGATACTTTTAAATAAACAACCATGCTACATAAAGCACTGAGTGTAGTTTATTCATCAATAAGTATGGAACATTTTGCATTTGTGTCAATAATATTTTTAATAATTTTGTGTTTCATTTCTTTAGAAATATGTTGAATAATATTGGTAGATGAATGTCTAGAATGGAGGGTAAACCCTAATTTTATACCATTTATTTCCTGTAATTGCACTAGTTTTAAATGATCATCAAATGAGCGTTTTTATTTTGCTATATAATAAGCAGTGCGGAAAATAGAATGTGTAGCTTTGTTTATCTGGTAATCCTTTTCTTCCATAAGCTTGGACAACATATTCTTGTCTTTATTGTCTAATACTTGAACAGCAGATTTGTGTGCGTTGGATTCAAAATGTTTTTTAAGTTTATTTCTTAAAACAGTAAGGCGAGTTTTCTTGTTAGTATTTGTTCCTCCATCAATTTCACATGTTGCCCATTCTTGAGATATTTCAATCTTTTGAGGGGTTTTTAGTTTACCCACTTTTCTACATATATAACATCCAATTATTTCATTAGCACAATTAAGTCCTTTAAATTTTTCTTTTTTTTCTGTCCATTGCGCTGATATCCACTCGAACGGCCACAGTGAATCCTAACAGTCAGCTTCAGAAGATTCAACATTGTTTAATTGAATAGATGGAGAAGATGGATTGGAAAACAGATTTTCTTTTACCTACATTAAATAAAACCAGTATCTTGAATAAGATATATTTAGTACCGATATAATTTTTAATTATTTTCTTAGCATAATAAGTATAGATTTTGCTATATAAAACTTATCAAACCAAAATTCTCCTCATATTCTCTTAAAATTAAAAACATATGCCATAATAATCAATGAATATCAATATATGCTTTATATACAAATATTATAAAAAATGCACAAGTAAAATATACATTGTACATTAGTAATAATTTTAGGTGTTGAAAATAATATTAGATTTAAAATAATTAAAAATAGTACAAATTAATAAATGGTATTCTTATAGAATACTAATAGGTATTTTAATAATAGTGAAATAAAATTTGAAAAGTTTTATTATGTTATTATTATGCATTTATTTATGACAAAGAATACTAAATAACAATACAAAATATGGTACCATAACTTATAAGTATTCCTTAAATAAATGGTACTCAGTTGCATAGTTGAATTGAACTATAGCATAGATTTTATAATATACAGATATGAGATAAGCCAACATACATACATGTAAAATAACAATATTATACAATATATCAATATATTGCAACATAAAAAACCAATATTTCTTTGATATATTTAAATATTTTAAATTATAGTAAAGTAAATGGTTCAAAACAATTTTTTCAGGTATTTTTATTTATCATAATATTAAAAAGAGTTATAATAATTTAAAATTTAAATAAATTGTATTCTTTCTCACTATTTACAAAATATGCTAAATAAGCTGACCCTAAAACTACTCTCAAATATGCAAAAAAAACTTTTTACTGTTAACTTAATATTGAATAAATTGTCCACATATTTTACCCTAATAAGTCTGCATAGGTATATTCAATAGCCATGGTAGTTTTATTGGGAAAGTCCAGTGATCTGAAGCTTTCCAAGTCACTAAGTTTAGGTTGTGAATAAGTTTTATCCTCAGTTTTATAGTCGAAAATTAAAAAAAAAATTAAATTATTGGCAAATTGAGTAAAAAAAAACTAAAAGTGGATTTTAAATTATAACTTTTAAATTGAGTAAATTAAAATTTGTTTGTTGAATAGTTTAAATAAAACAGGTACAATCATGTATTTACAGCCATGTACAGTCAAAAAAAAATAATATGTTTTTTGTTTATGCTAGTTAAAGTTAATTAATATTAATTAATTAAATTAGTTTAAAAAAAAAAAATTAATAATTTTTTTATAATTTGTATGTACTATTATAGTAGTACAGACAGTACAGTAGGTACTATTTGACTCAAATAATTGAAACATGAAGTGATTTCTATTAACTTATTAACTTAAATTATACTGAACAGTTTTAATTTACCAATTGTATCAGCTGAGGACTACTTGTCATAGGTTTTGATGTGGATGTGATAGATGACAATAATTGAGTTTCTACTTCTTTAGACGCCACCTAAATAGCACACAAGTAAACGAATTAATAAAATAAAGACAATTTAAAATATATTACCTTATTGTCCTTAATTTTTATAATTACTTACCTCAATATTTTCTAAACGGATTTTTTTATTTGTATTTTTAGAAAAATAAGAAAATAAAGTGTTTTTTTCTTTTGTGTGTGTAGAGTCCATATTGTCAACACTTAACACTTCACTTCACAAGTCACAAAAAAAAAAAAAAAAATTATAAGAAACAAAAATGTAAAATAAATAATAATGGAAGACGAGCAATGCTGTAGGAAGTCAGCACTCGGAATAGCACACGCCACACTATCTACACTTCATTTCAAAAGAGAACATACCGGTTTCGCGCATGTCGACTGACGGCTGCCAGCCGTCCCGAGGCTAATTTCTCCCACTTTCGCCGTAACTAGCCATCGATCGAGCACGAAAGTTGCCGATCAAACTGTGCCGACGAGTATACAGTATACACTAATTATTAAAATAGCCGGTTTACAATTATTTATCATATCCAAGTGACACGGCGTTAACGTTTACCAAGGAATCGGGAATATTTAATATTTTTTAAATAGTTTTTTATTGATAATATGATTATTTAAATTGAGCATCAACTTAATGGTTGTATAATAATAATTTACAGTAAATTTTTATACATCATGTACACAATACAATAAATAGGTTTTTACAATAATAATTTTACAAATATTTACACAATTTTATCTTTTAATCTGATAAAAGATCGAAATCGTCATCTTCTTCAGTGTCACTATTTCCTATGGTCATAACCAATCTGTTTTGTTCAGCCGACAATTCGTCCACCGTGTCATCTAAGGTCCAAAACTTATTTTCCTCTTCAATTGTGTGCTTTACGAAGTTCTTCCACATTTCAGCGTCCACTTTGGCTATTCCTTCGACCAAGAGGTTTTTGACATCAGGTAATTTAAATGTCTTGTTGTTGGCTTTTACGTGACGTTTTACAACAGACCAAACTAACTCAATTGAATTGAGCTCGCAATGATAAGGTGGTAACCTTAACACTGTTTTGTTCTGTTGTAAAACCATCTCGTCGATGACGTACTTGTTGTAGATCGGTTTTATCCTTCTAACAACTTCCAGTAGTTCCGGTATTATCATAGTTTGGTCAACAACTTCTCCTTTACCCTGTAGCCATTGGATGATATCAGCCTTCCTCCAGTTTGAAGTCGGGCATTTCTCCAACTTCACCGAGTGGTATGGCGCGTTGTCCATAACTATGACCGCATTATCTTTGAGCCTCGGTAAAACACCTTCCAACCAATCATGGAAACTATCACCATTCATTTCATCATGATAATCGTTGGTGTTTTTCTTCGACTCAAAGCATAATAACGAATCCGAAACAAATCCATCTTCAGAGCCGATGTGACACACTATGAGCCGTTTTCCCTTTCCGGTGGGGTTAACTGCTCCGGTAGAAAGACCCTGGGAAAATGCAGCTTGGCTCGATTTAACGGTTGTATCACACCATACTCGTATTGCCACGTCTCCGGCATTCACCCACGTTTCATCCAGGTAATAAATCGGTCGGCCTTCCTCTCGATATTTCCTTATATCCCTGATATACCGTCTACGCCATGCCCGAATGTCATCATTTTCAATTAATGCACTGTTGCGTCCTCTTTTTGAAAATTGAAAACCCATTGATTTCAAAAGACGCCATAGTGTTGTCAATGCGAAGTCCGGTTAAGTGTCATCTTCATTTACAACACTTAAAATTTTATTTAAATTTGGCAACTCACGATTTACCCAAAACTGATGAACTTTTCTTCGTATCGCTTCTTTGTCAAAATTATCAACCTTAACATTGATATTTTTGAAAATTTTCGTCCTATTCGGTGATGATACTGTTTTAAAGTTGCGATACTCGGAAAGCGTGTTGGATATTGTGGTTATACCAATGCCTAATTCTTTGGAAAGAATTACACGAGCCTCTCTTATAGCAAGCTTGGGATTAGCTTCCAATTTACTTTTGTAGGCATTAATTATCATCTCCTTTTGGCGAGAACAAACAAACTGAAAAATAAAAAAATTTATAAGTAAAATCCAGCTTTAAAACGATCATATTGAAAACTTTAACTATAAATTACAATAATTGTAATAATCAAATTAAAAAAAAATCATTAACATATACGGTAAAAATCAGGGATGGAAAAAGGTTTTTAAAAAACCTTATTTAACGAAAAAAATGAAAAACGAAAACAATTAATAAAATGAAAACGTCGAAAACAACAAAAATATAATAACGAAATCAAAAACGAAAACGTAAATAAATTATAGAGTTAATTCTGAGTTATACTGTTATTATTTATTACGAAAAAAAATATATATATTATATATGTGTTATCACTTTTAAAAATGTTTTAATTTGAAATTTTGAATTTTACATATAAAATATAAAATATAAATGATTATTTTGATTTGAAATTTAAATTTTAAATATTAAGAATAACTAGTTATAACTCAAGTGCATGTAACTATTATAAGTTAGGTATAAGAAATAAAAATATATATATAAAAAAAAAAAAAAAAAAACAAAATTATCGAAAATGTTATTAGGAAACAATTTAGAAAAATAATGTTTAAAAAAACGAATGGCGGACAATTTCCCCCCACTTTTTTTTTTAAGTTTATTATTTAATATTTAATAAGAAATTATTTTTTTTCCAGTAAAATATAATTTTTTTTTTATAAACATAATCAATTATACTATAATTACCTATTATAATAGATGTATATTTTTGATAAATTCAACTACTTGAAACAATAAAATAA